GAACAGGTGTTGGAGCGCGTAATAAACAAAACAAGCTGTTGTCTACGGGAGCGTCTTCTTTTCACTCCGGTGCACCGATGCGCAGCGAGCATGGGAACTGGAGATAAAAATCATCTTAATACACTCCAAATTATAGGATAGAATAGCGGCTTTTGTACAATAACCACTGTAAACGCATTTCCTTTTCTTTTCTTTCGAATTTGTTGGATGTAGACAGTCCGCAGGGGATAATAATTTAAAGGTTTATAGTTCGAAGTTCAGTAGACAAGCAAAATGAAAATCACAATGAATGACAGTGATTCTTTACTTTAGGCTACTTGTATCATTATGCTATCAGCAAATAAAATCTATTTGACCTTTTCAAAGTTTTATCCCCTCCCCAAATAAATGAGTATGATACATTGCATCCTAAATTTTGATAAATCTGTGCCCCAGAAGATCATTAATTCATAGCTCTCAGCATACACAATTTATCAATAGTCCAGACGATTTTTCTTTCATATACACACCCACATTTTGGTCTTTTTCTTCTTCTTCTCTATCCGTGCCTCTTGTGGGTCTCCCATCCACATGAAACAAAATAATTAGAGAGGGAAAGAAAAGTAATTGATTCATCAAGATTATAATTCAAGTGACAGAATGAAACTTTAAAGCAGAACTTTTTAACTAATTGTATGCATATTAAGTTTCCCTCACCCCTCAAAAACCTGTCAGACATAGCAACAGTTGATGTTTGCAAAGTGGATTCCATTAATTTACAGATAGGCTATATGTATATCAGAGTTGCGATTGATATGAATCAGTCGCAAGTTTGCAGTCTATATCTCTTATGTACGAAGTTGTTATTGATATAAATAGCAAACAAAGTTTCGATTAATCACAACTGAATATAAAACAGGGTCTAGTCAAAGCAGTGGCGGATCCAAGGGGGGGGGGGGCTCCCCTGGAAAAAAAAAGTTAAAAACACATTAATTTTACCCTTTTTGGGGAGATGGGCCCCCCCCCCCCCCAGCTTATTCACCGACTGGCTGTTTCGCCGCTAAATATTCTCTCACGAATTGCCCCCCCCCCTTTTGGCCGCCTCTTTGGCCCCCTCCCCTGCCGTCGGCTGGATCCGCCCCTGAGTCAGTACATATTGTAAACAGGGCAACTAGATGCATGTTTTGAAGTGCTCGACAGATGGCGCTAATCATTTTAACTTTTCGTAACGCAACATTCTGAGAAAATCGGGAAGGACGCTTTCACTGACATGATTACAAATACCTGTCAAAGCATGGAGCTCCTTTTTAGGCTCTATCTTATGTAGAGGCTAGCGCTAGTAGAGGATAACAAATCTGAACACTTTCTGAAATCACAGACCGAAAATAACCTCGAGGTCAGAACTAATCTAGATTTTAAAAAAAAAGAGTTGCTACACAATGAATGATCTTGTGTAACTCTAATTTTCAAATCGCATCTACCGTAGGTATATAAATAATTACCACGCACAAATACTAGAAATTAAATAGATGTCAGAATAAAATGGTGATTCGAATACCAAAGTATAGTCGACCCGTGAAGTAGGAACATGCCGAATAATTCTCGGGAGGTTGGGCGACGCACTGCCAGCACGTATCAGGTTTCTAGCGGCGAGCCTGCCCGTCTACGTAACACATGGTCAGTCTGGAGAACGACGATGTGATAACAGATGTATAGTAGAGCTGTAGTTGTACCCAACCTACACAAACTGTATTTTAAGTCAAAATATCAGATCTCCCAGCAAAAACGTAGCCTTTCATTCCGCCCCCCCCCCCTTCCGTTTATTAACGCCACTGCGAAATATGAAATTATGCATAGACTAGGCCTGGCTACTTGGATTTGATTTCATTTGAGTTGCTTTCATCTTTCAATATAAGCTATAGATCTAGACTAGATCTAGATCTAACAAAGATAGGCCTACAAAACCCTAATTCTCTCAATTCTCTCATAGCATAGCTCGGAGCTTGCTTACAGATATTTGATTTGGGCCTGTTATGATTACTTACACTTGACAGCAACACCGCTCTCGTTTCATAACAAAGATTTCAGGTGACGAAAAGCGATATCTCCCATTTCTATAATCAACAATAGCCGGATAAAGTTATCTGCTTTCACAATCTGTGTCTGTCAGTCACGACGTCTGTATGAAGTAAAACTTGGTCTTGAAATCGATCAGCACTTGATCGGATCAGAGTGACGACGATCGTATCGTGTTCGGTCTCGCCGTCGCCGTCTGCACATGTTTGAAATAAACGAGATGCCTAGTGGTGAAAAACAAAATAATTGCTTCAACTTGACAGCAAAGCGTGTCCGAGTATGAGTATTGATTTCATAAACCGAGCTTTCTTTTATTTCTCCAAAAGGTTAATTGGTTTTGGATATAAATTGACTGAATGTGCACCTGCGTTGAGGGGTTGAGTTACGTGTTTGGATAGAATGAGCTGTTTTTAAAAATAATGAAAGTTGAAAACAGAATAGTCTTGGATCGGGTTGCTCATTGTGTCATTCTTGTTGATTCGATATCCTGTCAACATAATATACCACGGTATTCAATTAAAAAATAGTCGCTTCTCCATGAATATTTTTTATTTCGCCAAACAACATCAAGATGAGGTGTATTTGTTTCTTTCGGTTTTGTATGCACTAAATATGCGTTCCGTTTCATTGAATTAGGGCTGCATGACGCCAGAATCGCACATCAACGATTTTCATTTATACGGCCCCCCTCCAAATGAGAAGTTCCAGTTACATAAGTTTTGAATATAATTATGTAGGCCAGAAACAAGTTAAAATATGGAAATACGAAAATAAAATAGAATTTGAGTTCTTTTTTTAAAGAAGGTATTTTGCACCTATACAATAGAGAGCTTACTTCTGATGGGACAATTAAAATGGTAATCAGCTGTCATTGCTTTACTTCTTCTCCTTTTTTCTACCCCTCCCCCCCCACCCCCAACGACAGCAATGTATAAACGAAGGCCTACATCTAGCCTCCTAAAATATGTAGAGAGTGGTGTAACCATAGGTACATGGGTATTCTTCTTTGGAAGCTCAACTTGGATAACATAGTTCAAACTAACGACATCAACCGTAATGATAAGGTTCGACTCTCTTCTTAAAGGTACTATGTCCCTTTTGCAGCCAACCTCAAATTCTGTAGAACTTTGCAGGAATTATGAATATGTCATGTATGTCCTATCTGTGAAATTTAAACGTTAGCAGTGTCCTCATATTCAAATTATGCAAGGAAACCCGTTTACTTGCTAGACTTCACTGTCAGACACTATTGAGTGACTGACTGGCTTTTTTTTCTTCTTTGGTAATAACATACATGAAAAGAGTTGTAAAGGCGTACCTGAGCATTTGTCTACATCAATAACCCACTTCTTCTGATGGCCAATATTAAACTGATTGAAACTTTGCGCAGCATAAAACGTATGACCATTCGGTACAGTTGTCTGAAAATCAAGACTATTACTTTTGGGCTCTATAGCCCTAAAGTCGATTTGACAACTAATAGTCATTATTTTTCCCACTTGAAGACATTTTCAAGCCCCACCTTTTTTAGGGAAGTTCTCAATAAGTATTATCTTTCAAATGCAGTTGGAATTTAACTTTTTCGTTTTTTGGGCCGGCAAATGGGACATAGTACCTTTAAGCGGCTTTCTGAGTGGTGATCTAAAAGAACTAAACCTAAAAGAGAAACGGGTTGGAGAAATAGTGAGGGAGTGGAGTGAGGGAGAGAGAGAGAGAGAGAGAGGGAGAGAGAGAGAGAGAGAGACATAGAGAGAGTATATGGCAAGGTAACAAAACAGAGAGAGACATACAGACATATTTAGAAAGGGTGAAATAAGGAGAGAGAGAGAGAGAGAGAGAGAGAGAGAGACAGACAGAGCACTGAGATAAGAAAAGGGAGAGAGAGAGAGAGAGAGCGCGCGCACGCGCACGAGAGAGAAGACGGGGGATTTAGATGTTCGACAGACAGATGAGGTTATCTACATCATTATACTTTTGCACGTGTACAAATAAAATTTGTCTAGCATACTTCACTTTCCTCACAAAAACTATTATCCCCTAATCTAGGTTTGATGGAGATTGACCGAGATATGGAAAGCTAAGGATGTTATAACAAGGATTACCCTTGTCAAGGAAATTCATATAAATCTATTTCAAAGACCATTCAATACATGAAGGTCGTGTGACTTTTAATGAAAGGTCAAGTTTGCCTTCATAGCAACACAGTTGATATGGGGGTGTGCGGGTTTGTTCTTCTTTCTTTGTGACTAGAATATCGACAGTGTGTGTGTGTGTGTGTGTATTGGTTTTTACAGACGTGTATCAATCAGATCTGATTATTTACGTCTGGGGACCGACCTTTAACGTCACCATCCGAAAGACGTGACTCAGTTTCGAACCTGTGTCCTCGGCTGAATCAGTTTGTAACTTCCACTTTTAGCTGGATTACAGGCGCACGCCACAACGCCTAGTTGGTATAAAGAGATCGAGTAATGAGGGCGCTCTTTCACTTTGAATCCGAACGCTAATTGTCTCTCTCATCTGAGCGATGAGGAAAGAGAGAGTGAGAGACCGAGCGAGAGACTAAAATTCAAAGACAACATACTGGATACGTACTCATAAAAGACATGAAAGAGACTGGTCTTTAAAAGAGATTTATAGGACTTATATGAGCGATGCATACTTAATATCTAACTAGGTTCGCTTTGATGATAAATACATTTTAATATAGTAAGAACCCATGTTTTTATTCATATCGTCTTTCATCAATATTTATCGACTTAGCAAAAAATCCATACATAATTGAATAAAACTTCTATTTTGGAGAGGTGGGGTGGGCGGGGATGCAAGATCTTTAACAATTGTCAACCTAACAACCTGTCCAAGTTTCAACCCGTTTTAAAAGTTTCCTGGCCAAATTCCCAGTTACTCAAACAAATATAAAAATGCAAGGAATCAAAATAGACTTATGTATACAAGTCTTTTTTATTTTTCAATCATCAAGTCTGCTCGTAGTAACAGCGGTTATTATTGCAATATAAAAACAATTATGTACATAATTATAATCATCACAGTCATGTGTACATAACTATACACATATAAATTTCACATAATATATATATAAAACAACTGAATTAATGTCAATAATGTCAACATTTTCCTCATTCATTGTTGGAAGTTAATGATAAAAGAAATTGTTGGTAAACACCAGGCTTCAAAAATAATCTTCCATTATGAATAATTCTTCATTGCAAGTTGTAAAATCGGGGACGAATGTACACGTAGCCCTTTCAACAACAAAAAAGAGGGAAACTAAGTTATTTGCGCAAATCCAAGATGGTTGGGATCTAACCACTTATCCTTTTCTATTACATTGCCAAATATTATAGCCCATACTCAAGGTATGAAACCTTTGATTTTAAACCTCCTTGATATCAAGTTATACAACACCATTTGGTCATTTCACATGCGAATTCAAAGTCAGAAATACAACAACATTCACAAAGCATATATTATGTCAAATAAAATGAAATAGTTAATTAATATTTAAACATGTATGCATATCTATAAACATATAACAAAAGTTCTCATTACCCTCGTAAGAATGGAAGGGGAACTGGTTGAATTAAGACCTTTGCTGATTGTCATATTCTCAAGAAACATAAATGGGGACAAATCAATTTTCACATTTAAAAAAAACTTGGTAAGGGTATGAACAATTTAGTTGTTAACTGTATTTTACATCACATATATCTTTTGACATACATAATTCAAAACAAGCAAAAAATATCAATAAATTAGGATCACAAGTGGTTCATAACTTTATATATATATATTGCATATATGTACTAGATGGATGAGTACCTTAAAATGATAGAAACTAAATTCATAGTCCTTCCCTCCGCGTTATGATTAAAAAAACATACAGTAACCTTCTTGTAAGATGACTCATGTACACTAACAAGTACACATGTGCTTGGTCTTTATCTTCCTAATCCTGATGCAATTACATGATGAATAGGGTGAATTGGTATTATATCCTGATCCCTAAAGAATAATACAAAGAATCCTTCTCATGAAATTGATGAAAATGAGGAGATTAGGCAAACACTGCAAAGAGCAAACAATAGCAAAGGAGAGAATGGCCTCTGGAATACGGTAGGCCTGTTTTCATCAGCTTGAGTTTGCAAAATAACCCGCCATTGTAAGTACCCCGATCGCAAGTTAACCAGTCAATCACGTCCTCATCAGCCCGCAGTTACAATTAGCTGGATATTTTCTTAACCAAATATCCACTAAATCCCGCCTGTACAAGCTAGTTTGTGATGAGCCTATCGGTCTAGTGAAGACGCAATTTGGAGCTTTGGGATAATATCCCGAGTCTGAAAATAGCAGGTATTTGGCAAACTCGAGCTGATGGAGACAGGCCTATTGTGAATGTTTGTGGTCTTCATGAACACTGAAGTCCTTCCATACAACTTGTAAAGTAATGTAAAGACTACAACATACATGTAACAGATAACAAACAATAGCAAGCAAGAATAACATGACCTAACCTTTAGAATACTCCTTTCATAGAACTTGATAAGTAATTGGAAGATTACCACACTGCAGATGGCAAACAAAAGCAGAGGAGAGAATACATTTGGACAACAATATAGCCTAATCTTAACAACTCCTCTCATACAACTTGGTACATAGTGCAAAGAAGATCATAAGGGCCTACAGGTGGCAGAAGATTATGCTAAACAAAGAATTGGTTCTGCAGCGTAATTAATTGGTAGAGTGCTCTAATATGGTTTCAGAGAGTACACTAACTCCTTTTGTAGGGCCTTTTCATAAACTTGAGAAGGGGGTACAGGTAACAGTGGTCCAGATGGCAAACATCAGCTTGAGAAAGAATAGGGTTGTAGCTATTACAGCAGCATACATTCAAGTGACTCAGTAACATTGCCTCAGATTCTGAAACAATATCCTGGATTTAGCTCATGCTGCAATGATAATTATTAACCTTTAGGTCAGTCAGGAATCCCATGACTTTTACAAGCCAATCGCCAGTCTGATTATCAAGATATTTATGATTGGAAATCGAAATTGCATATTTTGTTATCCTATTCACAAGCCCCTCCTAGAGTTTGGCTCAGGTTGACACCAATTATGATTTAAATTAACCAATAACGTTATAAAGACAAAATTAAGGAATCAATCAAAAAGTTTGAGGGAATCATTCAAAAGACATGAAAAAAGATGAGAAGCAATAAGCCTCCAGTTAAACCAAGGCACTTGGTCATACAGAATTTTGAAAATTGAATTTACATCACTTTAACCAATGTACATGTACATCACACATAATGCTGCAATATCATACTTGATGCTTAATAGTAATACATTCATATCATAATCTGTATAAGGATTTACAATATTCAAACCTGTGTTGATACCATATACTTAGCTCAAATTTGTAGTCCCACATGTGCACATTTTATGCATGCTTTTAAAAAATAAACAAACATAAAACAGATGACTTCAGACGACTGTGCTTCTCTTTCTTCCTAGCATCGTTATTAGTCACGGGTTACCTTTTCCTCTCTTCTCCATCACTCTCTGGCATGTCCCATGTGCTGGAATCCATGTCAGTACACAACATTCTATTTCAATTTGTGGTAGTCATTCTTTTACCCCTCTGTCACCCGCTGGCTAGTCCCGCACGCTGAAATCCTTGTTGGCTCATAAACGTTGGATTTCACTTCGTGGTAGTCATTCTTTTACGGTCAGATTTATTTCTCCTCTCTGTCACTTTTTGGCAAGTCCCGCATGATGAAATCCATGTTGATTCATAATGCTCTTTTTCACTTTCTTACAGTCAATAAAATTGTTGCATAATTTCATTCTCCTCTCTGTCACTCTCTGTCCGGTTCCACATGCTGAAGTCCACGTTAGCTCATAAATGTGCGACATATTCACTAGAATGGCTATATTCCCCTCTTTTCTCTGCCACTTTTACGTCTAAAATGGTTACCTTTACCTCTCTTCTCCGTCAGTCTTTAGCCGGTCCCACATGCTGGCATACATGTTGGATCAAGAATGATTTATTTCAATTAATGTGTCAAATGTCTCTTAAATCCTTTCTACACTACCATTATCATTGGGTGACCTGACGTCGCCATTTCTTTCTTCATGGGCCGGAGGCTGGCTGAAGCCCTCGTAAACATTGGAAGCAAAGTCCTTCACGCACTGCATCAGAAGCAGCTCCTGTGTGATGAGAAAAATATTTGTAACTGAAGGAAAACTCTATAACAATAATAATATACCGTGTTTATATAGCGCTTAATACATTAACAAGGTCTCTCAGCACTTATATTACCCTGGTCATTTGATTTGGGCTTGCCCGCACACAACATATGCACATTCTCCACTCCCTTGGGAGCATTATAGCCAGGCACCATTTTACAGACGCTCACAATGCCGAGCAAACTAACCTAACGTTCGCATCTTAACGGATACCCATTTTTACACCTGGGTGAAGAGCGGCAAATTTAGATCGACGTCTTGCAAAAGGATATACCCAAGTACCAAGCTGGGATTTGAACCCAGTGACTTATTCTCTAGACCACAACACCTTTACAAACTATATATAAAAAATGTTTGGTTTGGGTTTGAAAGATTTGCTGAGGAACAAGAGTCAAACTAGAAAACTTGTGCAAAAACACAAAATATATAATTTGAACTTTATTGTTCCATCTTTGAGTCATCAAAATCGGACAAAGTGAAACCCATACAAATTTAAATTCAGTCAAAAATAAGGTGCCTGATGGGACAGCCACAACATTCATGCAGTAAGCTGCATTTTGATCAAATAAAATAAAAATTTGATATATTAAAATACAAACCTGGATAAAATGATTTGGAGTATCACAGCAAAGTGCATTGACCTGGCCATTAACAATGGGTATGGCTTTGGCCATGGCTAGTTTGAGTCCACATGGGCTGTGAGAAACAAAACAAAAAATACTCAATGTTATCCAATATTACACAAGATCAGAGGAGGCAAAGATAGCATGGACACTGTGTCCAACATTTATCAACACAGCCAAATAATAATAATATTACTTTTATAAAGCATCTTTTCATTAGATACGAAGGGCATAAACAAGAAATACTAACAAACAAAGTGACAGAACAATTATCATATGAAATTTACATAATGTTGCTGGGCAAAACAATGATCCTACAAGTAAACCCTTATCGGTGCGTTATAAGATACTAAAATGTGAAGTGCGGTATACCCTTGCGAGAAACCACAGTGGTTTACCGCGGAATATGTAAACAAGCCTTAACATTACGTCATTGATGAAATGAAGCCCAGAGCTGGGCCCCGTATTACAAACAGTTGATATCAATCGCAACTTATTTGCGATGGATATCAATTGCAGCTTTGTACATAAGAGATAGAAAGATTGGAGGACTTGCGATTGACTTGGATCAATCGTAACTCTTTGTATGACGGGGCCCCGGTGTCATCTATGCAAATATACAAGATCTGAGACTGTCAAACCCTTCAGTGACCTACCTTTCTCCATTTCGAGTTGTGACTGGTCTAAAGAACTCAGCCATGTTGTCCAGTAGACGGCTGAACCCGATATCAAGGCAAGAATTCATCACACAGCTAAAATCATGGCTGTAAACAGGGGGAAAGGAGCATAATGCAAGCTCAAAATTAATTCTACATGAATTACAACAAAAGTGCCTGAGTGGTGAGTCTAACCCCGCCGTTGACAAATTTTCAAAGCTTGAGGGCTGGTGATGAAATAAGTACTAAAGTCCAGAGAGCTGCTTTTATTTTTAGGGCGAGAGCTATCCCTAAAGGAGTTGAAAGTTGATCCCCCAAAAATGTTGGAATGGATAACTTACAAAAGAATACAAAACATGTTCATCGTTACAGACAAAATACTATCAATAAACTGATCACACTTTATATAATGTCAAGACTTTTGTTACAAAATAATATCATTGCTTGTATAATTATTACAGTTATCAGCATAGCCAGAATAACTCAACAAAACCTTAAAATCGGTATAAATGATGAGAAAGTCTTTTCTGTATTATAAGATGAGAGTTGGTCTAGCAGTATTGTTCGGTCAGCTCTCTGTCTTTGTCTAGAAACTGACTCGGTGGACCCAGGTTCGAGACCGAGTCACGTCTTTTGGAGGGTGACATTAAAAGTCGATCCCAAAACCCAATTCACACACACTCTGCAGGTGGTCACTGAGGCAATCTAGGCTACGGGTGCGTTTAGGCAATGATATAAATATGGAACAAGTATTTAGTATTAAGTTAACAGGTTACAAATGATCTTGCTCGGATGACTCTGCTTGTGCCTGTATATGCCCATTTTAGTGGCGCGCAGATTTTTACGTGAACCGAAAACACATATTTTATGACCTCATTTAAACGCATTTACAAAATAAATGATTGTGGGTTTATGCTTCCCCAGAAAACGTCTTTTTGGAGAAACGCCGATCCAAATGCACCTTTTTATGAGTTAACGACCGCAGTTTACGACCGGCGTTTATTGGCATTTACATGTATACGAAAATGAGAAAGGACGCAACTGTGTTTTTAACTAAACGTGTGACAAAAACCTTATTCTGACCTGAAAAAGTTGAGCATAAACGCACCCTCAGACAGACTAATCAAGGGGAGACAGAAACCTGACAGTCTGCATACTCTCATCATGTTACATTTCATACATATGCACTTTACCTTTCAACTAAATCCCTAGTCTCTATTTGCATCTGGCTCAGTACAAGCTGGTCATCGCTGAGCCGACATGCAGATTCCTCTCCATCTAGTCCCTCCGGCTTCAGGAGATACCTCCCCAGGGGGTGAATAGAACAGTCTGGTACCACCACTGTAGGAGGAAACAGAAATGACAAACAAGTATTCAACATGGATATTGGATAAAAGTTTTCAGCACCCCCAAAATAATGTAGTTTGAAAAACAGAGCCAGTAGTCATATATGAAGATTTAATAAAAAAGGAGAGGTAGGAAAAAGAATAAAAGACAGTACACCACATGAGAAAGTGATAGTTAAAGAGACAGGCATAAGTCAAGAGAGAAACAAAATTGGGAGAGACAGACATATGACCCCATCCTCCAAAAAAGAAGAAGATTTAGATGGGGAGAGAAGAAAAATCAAATAGGAATTAAACCGAAATGAAATAGGAAAAAGAAAAGACAAAACTAGAACAGGGAGACAGCAGGCATGTAAACTAAATTGAAGAGGTATACATAATGTTAAAGAGAGAGATGGACGTACAGTGTACAGACAAACAGAAAGAGAGACAGACAGACAGAGGAAGAGGAAATGTACAGAGAGAGAGAGAGAGAGAGAGATGAGACAGAGAGACTGGCAGACAGAAGGTGAGACAGACAGCCAGATCGAGAGACAGACAGACGTAGGGAGAGGAAATGTACACAGAGAGAGACAGACAGGGGGGGGGGGGGGGAATGTTAAGAGAGAAGGGGCGAGAAAGAGAGGCACAGCAAGACGAGTCTACTTACCTTCTCCTCCATACTGCGTTGTTTCTACCTGACCTCTGACCTTGGCTATGATCTCCTCCATGTCTGACAGGCTTAGAAGCTGCTGTAATGATATGCTACAAAATAAAGCATAGAAAAAGAGCTTTAAAATGTGTATATGACTGTTCCCACTGATAGAAGACCTTAGGGTCATAGTTATTTAGCTAATCTTTTTCTTTTCCCGACATCCATGTGACTCTTTTATAAATAATAATAATAATAATAATAATAATAATTGGATTTATATAGCGCCTTTTCTGAACGAAACAAGGCGCTGCTCTCGATAAATGTACTCTTGTATTGTATTCATGACTTTCTTTGTTTTTGCCGAATAAATAATAATAATAATAATCCATATGTGCACAATCATTAAAGAAAGGAATACAAAATCTATGATACTTGTTAATCCATTGCCTACTGGAGCCTGGTGGCCCCTGTATTAAGCCTATGGCAATGAAGGAATTCAGTAGTCAATGGGTAAAGAAAAATGCTTTGTAGAGGTCTATACGTATACAAGATAGCAGGAGAAGAGGGTACATACTTTAGTCATAGGCCTTAGTGCTCTATCCATCCCCCCCACCCCCTCCCCCCCCCCCCCCCCCGAGATGGGAGGGGGTCCATATTTCTCACATCTAGAGATATTTACTTTATTTTAATGTATATTTAAGCTTCTATAAAATTTATGCTCATGTAAAGAAGACACTATCAATCTCTCAGTTGTAGAATGAGCAAAGAAGAACAAAAAACAAACAAGGAAATGGTCAATGAATGATAATTGTATAATATTCTAGGGGGGTAAAAGGGCCTTACCTTCCAACAACATTCTGGACAACTTCTCGAACATGATTTATGAGCTCAGTCAAACCTGAAAATGAAATTTTCATGGAATAAGATGCTTATCATGAAAAAATATTTGAATGGTGTTGGATAATATACAGTCAAGTGATGTAATAATTTGAAGACATTTAACAATATGCAATGAGGTTTTGATAATTCAATATGAAAAACAAAGTGTTGGGACTCATCAAGAAGGATCTCCCATTAATAATAACAATATAGTATGTATAAAGCGCATAATAAACATAAGTTTCTCTATGCGCTGTATAGAACTAGCACAAAAATAGAATCAATATATTGCTCCCTCTCATTTCTTTGATAATATAAATTTATAGTCATCCCAAGGACTAAAAATATTCATTAATAAAGCTATAATTCACAATGCAACACTTTGATCAGATTTACTATGTTTGCTGATGATAATTTAAAGTAGGGCACAGAATATAAAATGTTGATATTATTATTATTATTACACAACATTGATAAAGCTATAATTCGCAATGTAATCCTTGTGACACATTTACCTTGTTTGGCAATGATAATTTATAGCAGGGCACAGACTATACAATCTCGATGTTACTATATATGATTAAGAACATGATACTTTGAACACATTAATTTGATCAGTATTTTATTTATAGATACCAACAGACTGTATAAGACCTGATCATAAGAGTGCTACTGAAATCCTCAATGTTTCCAACCAGTGTTAAGCAAATAAGGAAAGCTTTGGGCATGACCATGACGAACTTTAATGTATCAAAGCGATACTTGTAACCATTTTTACAAAACTCAAAAAGTCTGATTATGCAATTACCCCTTCTCTTTGTCGAGGGGGAAGAGAAAAAACAATATCTACTCCAGACATACATGGAAAAGTCAATCATCCTGATAATTAAATGAGATTGTAACTTGTCGTTGATAACAAGTTTGAAACAGGGCCCTGGTACATGTATGTCACAAAAGTTGTCCCCATTCCCAGCAAAGACACACTCACCATCTGTAAGAAGGTATTGTACCATGGCAAGATATTCCTTCTGTACATCCTGGGTGGCATGTACCTGGTAATATGTCTGGAAGATTAACGGAGTAGAAGAGAGAGAGCATCGTTATTTGAACAGAGTATTGAATATGCCTTAAAATATTTGTCATGAAATAAGGATTATTTGAGGTGATAAATCATGTATTTAGCTTGAGAAGCTATAACCTTTATGGATAACATGACCATTATTTTTTAAACTGTTAAAAAAAAAAAAGAGAATGCTATTGTCTAAATGTAGGCTCATAAACATCATTTCTAAAGCTAGATTTTTGGAAAGACACAAATAGTGAAATTATTAAGAATGAGTTACACAGACTTAGTTCTCAGAAGCCCTCAAATAGTCAGCTGTATCCTCATGCAAAGCTGCCAGCAGCACTCACCACCACTCACGCTACAACTGACCCCATCTCACTGTGCCCTAACCGATTTATTCTTTGCTGCCAGCGTATCAAGACATGAAACCTCCAAGAATGTTCAGCTGTACTCTCAAGTACATGTCATTTACTTGAAACCTTGAACATTCTGTGTTAATTTTGTTGGAGTCTGTGACAATTTATTTTAAAAAAATTATTTACCAGAACTCAAGTTTATCTTTAATCTTATCCCCCACCCCATCTTACCAAGCCATTCTTCCCAGCCAGTGTATCCAGGTACATGTAGCCTCCAAGGATGTTCAGCTGCACTCTCAGAAAGGCTGTCAGCAACACAGTACTGTACACAGAGACCACCATTCTTGTGAAACCTAAAATGAAAGTCCAGTAGGAAAATGCTTGAGCTCTCAAACACAAAATCAAAACAAAATCAAAAAATTATGATGATCAAGGGATGCTCAAGGCACCTGGGCCAGTATTCAATTCCATACTTAAGTACAAAATTTAAGCTTTTTACTCAGTATTTGGCTTAGATGAAATACTTACCCAATTTTCCTATTCAGTTCAAACTAATAGCTAAGTATTTTACCCTAAATTTAAGACAGCTCTCTACCAGACTTAGCCAATTATTTGAAGGCCTTGATTGGCACGCATATGGTTTTCTTGCACACTATCATTACCTGCGCACATTTATATTAGCGCGCATTTATTGCAACGCATTAATTGCACATTACTTTTGATTTATTGTGTAATGTCACAATGCTTATCAGTAAGTATTTTACTTAGATTTTATCTTACGTATGTAAAAGTAAAAATACGATTTGAATATGAGATAAGTAAAGTTCTTAGCTCAGCAATTTACTTAGTAAATTTCTTACTTATTCTAAGCATTGAATTGAATACCGGCCCTGTCATGTATAAGTACAATAAATATTTTTGAGTAGCGCACAAAACAGAGAATCCTAACATTGTGACATAAGGAATTATGGAATTTACTGAAACAAAAATTCAGAGAATTAACTTAAACAGACAATTTTTAATTCGGTTGTGAGAAATGCCTTTCTGAATGCAAATATTCCTGCTACAATTGGCCCAGGGTTAGTTTCTTAGACTAGATGAATTCCTGCATTGCAACTTTAACCTTGGATCTAAACAAAATGTAATCCTAACTCTAAAATTTTGAACCTAAAAACAAAGTGAACTTCACTTATCCACTACAAGTTTACTATACTTACTGACTACTTTCAGTTCATTCCAAACAACAACCTTGTTTTCAGTTCTGTCGGACGAGAAAGAGATAAAGAGAGAGAGAGAGAGAGAGAAGGAAAAAAAGAGACAAAGAGAGAGAGAGAGAGAGAGAGAGAGAAAAAAAAAGAGTTAGTGTGGTTAATCTATAAAAAAAAAAAAAAACATGAACCAGTATACATGAAAGTTACAAGCCTGTATTTTTATTTGAAGCAAACACTCACCAAAATCTTCAAATGAACTACATTCCATAACTTCTTCTCTGACAAACAATTTTGTATAATGTATTTCTTTTGAAGGGTGGAAATATAGGGGATCAACCTTGACAGGCTAATGGCCTTTGTTGATCCCTCACATCCTCCACCCTTCATCCTTCTTTAATCAGTACAATGTAAATGAATGTTGTTGTTTTTTGTATATATTTATATTGTTTTAATTTATGATTTGTTTGTATATCTTTTGATGTGTTTTTAAAGTGATGTGAAATAAATTGAATACTTGAATACTTGAATACCAAATTTAAATTGAAAACAAACCCTAAACATGATCTATGGCAGTTTTTGATGGTACATACAGTATGACTGATAATGAATCTTCGCAATGAAAATCTTCCCAGTATGATCCATTATCCCAAAGGCCCTACGAGTCATCACATATAAAGGTTATGTGATGGGCTGCTGGCAGATGTTAGGAACAATAATCATTAAATTTCTAAAAGACTTCTACATTCAGTTTCTCCCTTCTTTTCATCCGTCTTTCCTGTTCTTTTCCTTAATTTCTTATTTCTATTTTGACCCATAAACCTTTTCCCTTCTCTTCTCAATTACTTCTACCTTTGCTTTTTCATCTTTCTTTTCTTTTCTATAGGATGGAAAATGAGGCAATTGGATAATATTAATCATGTTAATTATGAGTGACATTATGGCACTTGGCACATCATTTTTTAATGTCCTCATAATATGTTGGTATATTATTATGTATTGTCAATTGCATTTTGCTTTATTTGTACCAAGCAGCAAGCAAGACAGATTTTGAACAAATATACCATACCATTAAAATATGCATATGGCCAGCTTAAATATAGCAACAAACAGTCTCTCTAAATATCAAAGACTACTTCTTACCCCGACTTCAGTTTCTGGATGAGTTCTTCTGAGTTGAGATGGTAAAGAAGCAGCTCTCTCAGCTTGGGAATCATGGACAGAACTAAATAAAAAATAATAACAGAAACAAAGTAAAGTTATGAAATCACTTACAAATTCATAAAAATCAATAGACCGAACACATGAATTCAAATTCATGATTGTTTCTTTCCTGGGACTAAGGAATGAACAACATTACTTGGAATCCAGTCTGCATACATTGCTTGTTGCTATGTCGGACAAGCCTCTGACTAGCTTTTCAGTTGTCATGAAATTTGTAAATTAAACCAGTGTATTGTCCCAGTTTAAAAAAAAAAAATGCTTAATTCTCATTGTTACGATGGAAATGCATGTTAAGAAAGTAGCTTTTCAAAAATTCAGAATCAGATTTGCTAATCCTATTGTCTGAAGATCATTCATAAACACTTTGGGATAAGCAAAATGCAAACACACTGTACTTAAGAAAACTTGCAGAAAATGACATTCATTCAAGTTTATTGTACAGATCTTTGTTCATTACTTAGCTAGTTTACATGCAATATATTTTTTCCATAATAATATTCAGTGCAGTTTAATTTGAATATCTGAAATATACAAAATGTTAATTAACACATTTAATTATTTACTTCAAATAAACCTTAAAACAACTTATTCCTTAAATCCTAATGTCACAAATTTCTTTCCATGGTTAATGCTCTGAATTGTGTTACCTTCTGATGAAAATTCTCTTGCTTAAATTATGAATTATTGTACAAGAATAAAAGAAAAATCAAGTGGGTGAAATTTATGTTGATGATTTTTCTACATCAGTCACACCAACAAACCAACAACAAAAAGAATGATAACCAACAAAAAGTTGGCCATATTTTGTATCAGTTGATTGTCAGTCTGAAGTCAGTTAGAGGTCGATCTGAGGTCGATCTGAGGTCGGTCTAAAGGTCAGAGGTCGGTCTTGTCTGTGTGATGGGGATAGGGAAATATCACCTGTCATGTTGCATGTTCGCTGGTTGCTCTCGAAATGGTGCGCTCTGCGAGCCATTGCGAGGCATTCTGCTTCTTCCGTCTCTCTCCATTCCTTCAACTTCCACTCAGCATACTTGTAAAGGAGTGAGGCACCTGGAGAAAGAAATTTAGTTTTGAATTCCAAATATTTCACTTTCCTCTTTCTATTAAATAAGTACATGTAATAGCATGAAAAAATGAATGGTTATTTTGATATAATTACTGAAGCTGGAGACTGGTTAACTGTTTGAAGCTGGTTAACTGTTTTTACCATCTTGTCTTTAAATTACATTCATTAATGTACCTATTTCTTTTTCCTTCAACTTCTTGTCTTCTCCACTTATAAATAGACTTTATCAATATCATTTCGTAACTTTTATTCAATTGTAATCTTTGTATATTTTTTAAGGAAAGTATTGAATAAAGTGAGCTGAACTGGACTTAAAATTCTTATTACCGGTACTAATAATTTTGAAAACTAAAAGACTCATTCTGACTAAATCAAGTTCCTTTTTTATCACCAGTTAAAGCTTATCAACACTAGTGTGGCTAGGAGGGATTAGACCACACAGCGAGGTCACTGACAGGTGGCTATCTCATCAACTCAGGTCTCAGCTCTCAAATAACATAAGAAATAGAGGATCATGGGGGACCAACAGGCACCGATTGGGGAAGTTTTCTATATAGAGGGAGCAAGTAGTTACAAGTAGGACAGTGGGGCTTTAGGTCCACATGTCATCATTCTCAGACTCAGTCTCATCTCATCACAAATGGAATGTAAATTGCAAATACTCCTCCTCCTCCTCCTCCTCCTCCTCCTCCTCCTTCTTCTTCTTCTTCTTCTTCTTCTTCGTCTTCTTCACCTCCTCCTCCTCCTCCTTCTTCTTCTTTTTTCCCCTTCTTCTTCTTCTTCTTCGTCTTCTTCACTTCCTCCTCCTCCTCCTCCTCCTTCTTCTTCTTCTTTTTTTTCCCCTTCTTCTCCTTCTTCTTCTTCTTCTTCTTCTTCTTCTTCTTCTTCTTCTTCTTCTACATTTTATTTTGAATTCCTATTGCGGGATGTGTCACGTTGCAGATGAATATTTGATACATTGCAGATTTAACATGCGTAGATCTATGATTGTTCGCCATGTTTACAACTCGCCCACACACAACGTGAGAGTCACTGACACAAAAACACACGGGTGGGAATATCATCACGCGCCAAACAAATAGATAATGAAAATATACCTCCTGCAACTGCACCAAGAACCAAGAATTTTCTTCGATGGCGTTTCACGAAGTTCCAAATGCTCCCCAGCATTTTTCTTCAGATGTGCCTTCTCTCAAACTTCAAAGGTTCAGAAATGTTTCCAGCTCCGAATTTAACATCGCGTGAACAGTATATATAAACAACAGACAGAATTTAGACCCTTGATCGGAATCGTCCAAGGCCGCGCGCGATGCATATCGCGTAATACTATTTCGCCCCCTGCCCCCGAGAGACACGGTACAACGGTTCTCGATACAAGATGGGAAAGGAGAACCTTAGTTAGTGAATTAAACAATAACAACAAATGTGTGCATATAATATACACACATTTTTGCTTCAATCCTAATTCTTCTTAATCATCTAGAATGGCATGTGGGATAACAGTAATGATTTTTCTGAATAATTTTGTTTTTGATATATATATTCTAACATTGTCTCCTACTTAAGTCTTACGATCCTCCTTCGTGTTTTCATCTTTTTGGCCCGCCTCAATAGTATATGTTTTTACATTTAATATGTTTGTTTTTATAATAAACATATATGAATTTTAGGACATCTAGATAATTAGAAAGTAGGAATTTAAAATATACTGCAACTGACATTGTGGAGTGAGAGGCACTGTTACGTTTTGATTGGTTTGCTAGTTATCTCAGTTTCCAGTAGAAGGCAATAGACATGCTATAACTTTATTAACTCCGTCATGGCACTCTTGAAGTGTGATGTACCGCTATTATTTATTAAATATGTATCAATGGGATTGAAATGTGTCAAATATTTGAGTTAATTATTTGCTGACAACACAAGTGTTTTCTTATCTCATTGTGATATTCATATCCTTGAAAACTAAATCAATAGGGAACTACCAAAATAAGCCGATTGGTTTCGAAGTTAAATTCTCTCTCTCTCTCTCTCTCTCTCTCTCTCTCAATGTTCTAAAAACAAGTTATCCTCACTTCAAAGGAAGGAAGTCTTTTGATCAACAAAATATAAAGTGTATTATGGTTGTAATCGCCTAGTCAAAGTCTACTGATGTGGTTTGTTTAATATCATGTTATCATATCATATAACATGATGAACAATGCAGAAATGAATAAATAAATTAATTTCACCTTGTTTTGAGGCCCTTGAGTGCATGACTTTGTGTAAATTAAATGCAGTGTTGAAAGTGACAGAGCATTTTTATGTCAAGATGTTTGCTTGATGATTTGCTGAAGCTTGAAAGTAAGCAATTAAGGGAAGGACGGCTTTAAGTCCTCCCCGAGGGACTTAGTGGTAATGAGGATTAAAGCCTTACTAAAGTGTACGAAAGCATAGACTTGGTTTTGAACCCGGGACCTCCCGACAACGAGACCACTGCTCTACCGATGAGATGGCTCGATCCTAGTAGATCTACGAAGAAATACTAATATGGAGCCCCTTAATTTCTCCTCATTTTCGAATTTCATCAGTTCAACTTACAAGTAAAGAAAGAAACATCTCACATAATTATATGAGTACAATCATGTCCATTTTTCAAATTTTCATTTTATTGTAATCAAATTCACAAACTCATACACCTCCTAAAGTAAACAAACATAAGAGAATCTTTCTGAATACAAGTATTTAGTAATAAATTTGATGACAGCATTTAGTAATAAATTTGATGACAGCATTTAGTAATAAATTTGATGAAAGCATTTGCCCATAATGTTAAATTTTATTTATCAAATTAACGGAAGGGCATCGACGGAAGAGTTTAAAACACCAATTAGCATTTCCCTTGAAGTTGTATGGAAGAGGATATTAATGACTTTAGAATCAGATGTAGAAAACCAAATGATTTGTTCTCCTATATCTGAATAAAAGTCTCATTGTTCACTGTCATGACTGTTGCCGTAGATGGGGCTCTTCCTAAAATGAGATCAGTCCCTTTGAACGGTATGAAACGCTACCGAGTTTATGCAACCTTTTCACTCGTTTCTGATTTTCAAGAAGGTATAATTATGTCATTATTGAAGCATGTCGTTTCGCAAAAGATAAATCCATTCGAATTGTGTAGAAGTCATTGAATATTCCAACGACAAGCATTATTTCATGATAATAGAAAGAATTCGACAATGATCTTACAATCTTCTATCAGGTGGTAAACAAGATTTGTACAGTTGCACAGATTACAGCTGTACATCGAGATAGATATCGTCGCTACACAGTGCTCCTTCGGTGAGTCTCCGTTCTATCTTTCCCGGTTTAGATCTGATCTTCACTTCTTTCTTGATAAGATTCGTTTTTTCGTCATGGATAAAGTCCTCACCAAAACTGTCCATTTCGATTCCAGTATCGGCGCAGTTGTTGGTATTTCTGTCTACTTCCTGAGCTAATCCACTGTCACTGAGAACATAGTGGCTCTCTAATTTTGTTTTGCTTGAACGCAGAATCCTAGATGACCCATTGTTTAGTGTTTCGCGACCACCTTTGATCTGCGTTTCGTCATTGACTCGTACGCTACAACGTGGGTGCCTTTCGCCAGCTCTACGCCTTTCCAGTTCGCGCGCGCCTCGTATGATAACGCGGTCGTAACTTTGTGATCCGTCGCTATCGGCTCCACTGAAGGTCGTCGTCGCGTGAACACCCTGGTCGTGAGCGTCCGTTCCGGAGTCGCTATCGTCGTCGGTGCCGAGCAAATAATCGACGACGGGCATGATCTTTCCAGAAGTTTGATTAAACAGTGTACTTAGGCTTCCCATCGCGCACGAGATCCTGTTCCCGATGTACTCGGTGCTCAGCTTGTTTATGTTGCGTGGATCCGCCCGCCACACGGCCTCTGCCTCCCGCTGTCCCGCCAGCGTCTCCACCAGGATGATCTCGAACAGTTCCGTCATCTTCTCCGACTTCAGCGGCGGGTCCGCCCTGAGGACGGAGTCGCGGAACTCGGCCATCACCTTCCTGGAGCTCTTGTAGTGGAGCTCCCCGCAAAGCTGTTCCAGCTTTAGCCGCTTTCCCAGATGTTCCTTCAAAAAAGTATTCGACTTTCCTGAATCCATGAGAGAGGTGAAGGCCTGAAATTGAGATGGCTGAAAGAGAAATATTGAAGTACATGTAATTCATTAGTTTGATGATAAAGTAATTTTCGAAATAGTAAACGAGCAACTAGGCAAAGCATTAATTGTTCGGATTAAATGGAAACAAGACACGGACATGCTATGGATTAGTTTGGAAATTTCCCACAAAGGCCGTCAATACTTTTGCTAGAGGCTGGTCAAATTAAAATTCCCCAACCGACATGACGAAATTTCAGGTCGAGTTGCCCCTGAATGGGGATCAAGTGTTGAGAAGTCTAGCAAACCTATAACGATTTAAGAACTTTTTGAAAAGTTGGGGGAAACCGCGTTTTCACATTTTTATCTCTGTTAGATGCATTTGGAGGAGATCGTCACCCAAAGTTCGTTTTTACCCTTCCATGTTGCCGATAACAGGATGTTTTGTAAAGATGGGATCGTACTCAATGAAAAAATGGACAAAACAATGTATTTTCGTTTTAGCACGAACTACCAAAACAGTGAATACAAACCTTTATCCCTTCGTCACCGAGACTCAGATTGCAAGCAGAGTTTATCGACGTCTTATCATTCGTGTGATCGCCGTTCAGGTAGGCTTCGAACTCCCACATCATCATTCGGACCTGAAAACGAGTGAAGGTCAAGAGAGAAAGGACAGTACGGATGATTAATTCGAGAAGGAGATGCGTTCGTGTTAACCTCAATACATCAACACACCCAGGCGTTTGTGTCCGGAGAAGTTGTGTATCCAGACAATTGATTTAAAACATAAATTTGAGTTAACAAGTTAACAAGCAATACTTTATCAATCTTCTAAGAGTAAGACGTATGTTGGAAAATATAATAAGGTACAATATATTTATGATGATTGGTGCCACTGCATGACTTTTTTTTCGAATGATTTATGTTTGTATAAACATGTAGTGTCCGGGCACCCCGCTCCCACCTTATCATACATGGCATGGTTATATAGCTGATCGAATATTCAATTGTTAAAAACACGAGCATATTTTGTGATAAAATGTGCAATATGTTAAAGAAGAGCGAGCAAAGACGCTAAGCTATGATGAAGATGGGAATCAATTCTGCATCTTTTATATTTTTATACTTTTTACTGTCTTTATGATCAACACCATCATCATCATCACCATCAATATCATCATAAATTCATAGCTCTTAGTTTTATTATCATCCATTTATCGTCACAATCAAATCGTCAACATCATCATTATCTTTATCAAGCATTATCATCCTAATCATATCATTATCGCCATCATCGTAATGCACCCTCCCCCACCTCCAGTCAAAACTCTTCTTCGGAGTATGTAGGAGGAAAAGAATCCAAGATCCAAGATCATCGTCATTATCATTATCATTATCGCCATCATCATCATCATCATTTGATCATCTTCGCCATCACCACCAACATCATCATTACCAATCCACCACCATTATCTGTAACTAAGGTATAACATGGCCTAAAGTGTTGAACATATCACATTGCAAACATTTAGTCGGCACAATCACCAAAAAGCTTAGACATTATACATTAACTCAAACTCTACCTGCAGATCTGAAATGGTTTTTCGGCCCATGCTCCCGGAGTCTGTGGACTGTCTAGAAGCCAGCTCTTCGCTCTCTCCCATCTTCATAAGAAAGCCGAACGGGTTTGCAGTGAAAAGCGACGCCATCGAGGTTCCTGACTGTCCAAGATACTCAGTAATATGATGCATTTCTAACTTTTCTTTGAAATTAACGAGAAGTTTTTCATCTAGACTCTATCCCCGTTTTATTGGAAAGGATACCCTTGATAAATGAATGGGCGGGAAAACCAAAAGTATCAATAAAACACATGTGCGCGCATAATATACTGCGTCCACATGTTGCTATGGGCAATCATTTCTTCAATGCGTCTTTTTATGACGTGAGCTGCGCCAGTGCGCATGCCCCTCTGGGTGTGTTAAGAAACGCATTATGACGTCACAATTAAAGAGTAAATGCATTTTAATTTAGTTTGTTGATAATGATATGATACCCCGAACTTGAATCTTACGTTTGCTAATTATTGTTGAGGTTCAAAATGATAATTTTCAGTCATGGTGTATCGTTCGTTTTGCGAAACAAAATAGTAAATATCTTTCTCTTAGCGTATAAACAAAAATGCGCTATAATACGGGAAAGGCTAAAATCACGACTCCAATTTCGACCAATCAGATGGCTAAATTTCTAAAGAGAGGTATTTAATACCTACTACGATGTTGGACAATTTTCGCCCCATCAGAATGTGTTTTTATCCCCCCCCCCTCCCCCTCCCTTCTTAAAAATGGCATAGCGATGCTTCTGAGCTAAATGAATACCAACGCTTGTTCTCAAAAGGCCCTGCCCCTTTTACTCTCTCTCTCTCTCTCTCTCTGTTTACCGTTCTCTCTTATTCTTTCATTCTATCTCTCAGAATCAAGATGAAACTTCTTCTGGCATTCCCTTACTCTCACCCCATTTTCTCCCCCTTTCTTTTTTTCTTTCGCTCATCCCTTCTCAAAATATTTGTACAACTTCTTTCTTTCGCAGTCTCTCGCCACTCCCCCCCCCCCCCTCTCTCTCTCTCTCTCTCTCTCTCTCTCTCTCTCTCTCTCTCTCTATTTCCTCCTTTCTTTCTTGTTTCATATCCTCTCATAACATGTATGTACATGTACAGTACTTCTACGTTGATTCTTGGTAACTCATTATGGTATCGCGCCTAGTGTATAACTTCTTCCTTTCGGGACCCAACCCCCCCCCCCCCCTTCTCTCTCTCTCTCTATCTCTCCTCCATTTCCCTCCTCCATTCCCCCCCCCCCCCTTTCTACCCCTCTGTATATCTCTGCCCCCACATTTCTCCCTCACTGTCTCTTTAAAGTTTGAACTACCATTGCATCATTTCCCCCTTTTACCACTCTCGTGACATTAGATTTACATTTATGTCACTTTCTTTCCTTACATTCTGTAAAAAAAAATAGATTAGACTTATGATATATTCAATTAATTGAATAATAACTGCTTTGTTTGATGATACATGTATTTAATTGATGACAAGTTTATAAAAGTTGAACACATTTTACAAAAATAAGTTCTTCGTCATATTTTTCAGGGAATGATCTGGGCTTTACTCAAACAATATTGTTGCCCGTTAAAATTATGGAGTAGATTTTGTTTTGACTGAAGTCACTTTACGTTTTACACATAACTTTTAATATCACAATTACAGCAATTCATAGCAAAGTTTGCAAATTACATAATCTAAATAATTTTCTGTCCACAGGAATTAGATAATGTAGAATCAGATTCTATATATATATATATGCAAACTCCTAATCATGAAAGCAGGTAACTTTCAAAACCAACAAAGATTTTACCATTTTCAAAATTCTTTGTCATTTCATATTTCTCCTAAAATAATTGTTGTTTTTCTTCAAGTTTCCAACAAAAAAAAACCCAAACCTGATATTTCTTACATACACTGTATCATAATGAAATGAAAAACTTGCTCTATTGGAAGAGCACTTATTCCAATGTTTTTACATGGCAAGTAGGAAAATGTTACTTTTCTTTATTGTTTCACAAAAAGTTGAAAAATAACATTTAGCATGAAAGGAAAATGGAATTTCAGTAGGACCTACTGACATTTTTTCATGAAACATGATACAAATGAGCTGTATAAAAAACGACAATTAGTAGATTTTACATGTAAATATGTATCACATTATAACATCTAATGTAATCTAGGTAATATACTACCAACCGATGATTTTTTTTTTTTTTTTAATTGAACATTTACAAATATGGGAAACAGTTTACCTACAGATTCATGAAATATGTTATTAAAACAAAGCAAAGACAAATACATGTCTATAATTTCTAACAAGACTGATCAAGTAACCTTGCTTTAGACAACTTCATAGAGTATTTCTTTTTCCTCAATTAAAGCATTAATTAATCAATGCATGTGATCATTGCGACAAAAAGATTTTTTAATATTATACTGTATATTAAAAAAAAGTTTGAATAAAGAAATGTCTCAAAATATAGGAAGGGAATTTTGCTTACATGTACATGTATAACATTGATTGTTAAACTGTTCCCAGCCTTTATACTTACCACATTCAAGATATAAACTACATAAACCCATCAATGACCTACAATATATCATCAGGTCATTGTTACTACATAGTACACACTATCATATTCCAGTAGCAAAAAAAACAGCAAGTGAAAAAATATCCTCCATTTCTCAAAGTATTGCTTTTTAGAACCTGATGTCTCTCTTACTTGATCATTCTTAGACCGTAGCGGAGCATCATCAACAGACTGGAATGATACAAAATGACAAGAGAACCTTTAAAACATCTTGTACAGAGAGCTTAAGAGGGCAAAGACAAAGAACATCTTGTCTTGCATATGATTTATTGAGTTTGTTATTACAATTTTGAGAAATTGGTGAAATGAATGATTCTGCGGGTCACATGCAAGGTATCTGTGGAAAACAGGCTGCATATATCATTCAAATTTGCACCAATACAAGAGAAATATCCAAATGATTAAAGAATACAGTTGGGATCATTACTTTGAAAAAAAAATTCTTATTCTACTTCAACATTTTCTGTCATTTGGATATCACACCCCTTTCCACTTGTCAAATCAAATCAAATCAATTTAATTCAATCAAGGTTTGTTAAAACATGACTGTCAATCATAGATGGAATTGTATTTTAACAGTGTAAGTAAAATACAATATTTCTACAAATTGCAACAATACAAAAACATGCAAATTAGAATGCAAAGTCACATAAAATATATAACATTCATACAATTGGGAAAAAAAAGCATTCAAAAGACTGTGTTAAAGATACTATGTCCCTTTTGCAGCCAACATCAAATTCTGTAGAACTTTGCAGGAATTATGAATATGTCATGTATGTCCTATCTGTGAAATTTACGTTAGCTGTCTCCTAGTATTCAAATTTTGCAATGAAACCGTTTACTTGCTAGACTTCACTGTCAGACACGATTGAGTGACTGACTGGCATTTTTCTTCTTTGGTAATAACATACATAAAATGAGCTGTAAAGGGTACATGAGCATTTGTCTACATCAATAACCCACTTCTTTTAATGGCTAAAATTAAACTGATTGACTCTTTGAGCAGCATAAAACGTATGACCATTTGGTACAATGGTCTGAAAATCAGACTATGACTTACTGGCTCTGTAGCTCTTAAGTCGATTTGACAACTAAAAGTCGTTATTTTTCCACTGAAGGACATTTTCAAGCCCCCCTTTTTCTAGGGAGTTCTAAATTAGTATTATCTTTCAAATGACGTTGGAATTTAACCTTTTCATTTTTTTGGCCTGCAAATGGGGCATACCGTAGTACCTTTAAAAGCATTATCACAAATCTACTTGAATGCTAAACCTCAGGAAACTAAATTCAAATAAGTTTGCATTGTGTGAACTCACCTCAATGCTGCCACTAGTCCAGCAGGCATGAATTTGCCACTGTTAGAAAATCTGTAACCCATGACACCTGTTAACACCACAGATGTTCCTGAAATTAGAAAACAATAAAGGTCTTTCATTGATTATCAAGGTCTATTTGGCAGATCATCATGTACAGTCCACTGTATTTGTAGTTTTGAACATGCAGCAGCAGTTCCATTTGATTCTGAGTAACCTCCCCCCCCCCCCCCCCCCCCCCAAAAAAAAAAAAATTAAAAAAAAATTATATACTGTATACAAATCCTGGATCCACTCCGACATTACTATGAGAACTCAAATCATATTTAAATTTTAAATGCATTTTTCAGACTCTACTCTTCATAAGAATCCCATATACGTTCAAACCTGCTTCAGTGATCACCTGTGGCTATAGAAAGACCACATCTTTAATTTCCCATGAAAATAATATCTCATTGAAATATGTACAAAGGAACCTGTACATAAAGACGTTTATCAGCATGTACAGAAGGAGGTTAAGGAACCTGTACGGCTGTACCTGTATACACTATGAACACGACTGACAAAGAAAGCGGACAAAATATACAGTTCCTCATGTAGACAAAGGAACATCCCTTCACTGCTATTATGTAAAAATGTGTAGAACAGGTGTCACATGCATATTCACCTTTTTACATAATAGCAGTGAAGGGATGTTCTTTTGTCTACCTGAGGAACTGTATATTTTGTACGCTTTCTTTGTCTGTCATGTTCATAGTGATATACAATGTACAGACCATCTTCCTCTGAAGACCACTTTTCTTGTCTCCCTTGATCAGTTTTATTTACACTTTTTCTCGCTTTACATTATTTTGTATACAAAGAGTGAAACAAAGTTTAGAAATTCAATGACAAGTGATTGAAAGACAAAAAGCCCAAAAAAGTAATTGGGAAACGGAGGAACACAGCAAGAAGCAAATGACGGGAGACACAGAGAAAAATGGTATGAAAAAGAATATGGAATAAAGACACTTCATTGATTAATCAATCATAATGTTTCATAGTGTACTTACCAAAGATGACAAAGAAGTCGTTAGGATTTTTAGATGTGAGGGATGCACCGTAGCCTGCCATAGCGCCAAACAGAAGGCCAGACGCTAGGGACATGGTGCTACCTAAAAAGTACCAAAAAAATAGAAAATTATCACACAGGACTTTCAGTAGAGCAAATCTTTCATTTAATACCATAACATTGTTAGAATTAGAAATCTAAACAAATTCAGATCCTCACTACACAGAAATACAGTGTAATTGCAAATAAATATCAAATTCTCATCTGAATTTTTTTATTTTTATTTAAGGGTAACCCATTCAAGTTCATTTGTATGACAGCAAAAATAATAAAAAAAGACTGGAAAAATCTTGGAATATATTGGACCAATACAAAAAAGGTTATGAGTGTTGGAAATATGAGATCCCTTAATCTATGTGGACAGTAAGTTGGCAATTTGGTCAGTGGATTGTGACATATTTATGGACCACTCTCCCATTTGTCTCGTACAAAAATATCACAAATTGGGAAATGTAATAACAGTATATTGTGGGTAGCAAATGTTTAAGGTACTCTAAGAAGAAAAAACACCTCCTCCCCCCTCCAGAGTTATACATTAAAAAAAGGGCAATTTTAGTCATTTTGGAAAAGTTGTCTGGCAGACCGGCACCTTGTTACAGCGACACTGCTGATTAAGCCTATTTGAAGCGCCCATACGTACACTGTACATTTATTTACATATACATTACTTGGTCTATTACAACTATTAAAAAAAATTCATAACTGTCTTTATTATTTTTTGTCCAATTTCATTCAAACTTCACCTGTCTGCTTCTCTGATTTTCATGCTTTCTTTCATTGTAGTTTACCATAAAGGTTGGATTTCCCTTAACAAAAGAATGAAAAATTTTCTCTTCTTCTTCATGCAGCAACAATTATTGGCAATGGCATGCCAATCATGCATCAATGACAATGTCAATTCAAATCTCAATGTCTATCTAGATCTAGATCTAGTTACAAAAAATACAAATAGGTCTAACTTACTAGTTACACATGTAGTCTACTTACTCTTGTTAATGTTAACTTTATTCATGCAAGTGTACATGAGTAGAGAGTATGAAATATATTTTAGGTAAAATACATTGACACTTTTAATGTTATTGTTTGTAGGCCAGCTAGCCAATACAACAGGAGTAGGTCAGTAAGGACGTCAATAAATAATGATGATCCGAGGCCAAAGGGCAAGGGGCAAGTAGTAGTAGTGAGTTGCCGCAAGCTGATGACGGGCCTGGAGACTCGCCCTGGCGTGGCGACGCTCTGCACTGCACTGCACGGCGTATAGCTGGCACAGCAGCCAGGCCCACCCCAGGGTCCACATTGTGTCAGTACAGTATTTAAATAGTAATATATCTGAGAAATGAAAGAAAACATTACCTGCTTTTAGGTATCCCATTGCTCCACCGATGGCGATGAGAGCCGCATATCCAAAACCAAGAATATCAGTCATGACTTAAATTTTTGTTGGAAATTTGATGTTCAATATTTGACGATGTTTACGTGGGTTTACTGTACGTATGTGCACTATTGTATATTATAGCCTATTTTCCAGGCGAGATAGGAGTTTTTTCTTCTTATTTAAAAATAGATGAACAAAACTGGATCTAAGAAGTAATCTAAAAAGAAAAATTGATATGATAAAAATGTTCGAATTTTCTAAAGTATCTTTCCTTTTATTCAAATCTTTACTCAATGACAAGAAAATATATTCTCCTGAATTTAGGCTAAAGAATTTTTTACTATGGAACGCTATTTACGATATTTTGATCTTTACACACGATCGCCATACCACACATATTGTGACTCGATGAAGTATCACATGATATACTTATGATTTTAGATAATATATGTCTATATAATGTAAGTAACTTGAATATTTACATATAGGCCTACCGTGTTTGAAATAGTTTTTAGTCAATATATTTCTGATGTATATATTTTTTTAAATTTTTATATAGCCCTATTGTTTTTAATTTATTTTGACCCATAGCCATCCGTGATAGTAATTCGACAACTAAAACAGTGTAAATTCAAAAGAGGTAGTTCCTGATTAGGCAAGTAATATTGGAAATAAAATTTGTATTAGTAGGCCTAAGCTGAAGTAAGCATTTTAAAGTCTATGCCATGTCAGGTAGTAAAAGAAAAAAATACCAGCATGTTTTATATCATACCAGTATATCCCATTCTGGCTTCCCTGGTGTCATATGCTACCATTCTCTCTCTCTCTCTCTCTCTCTCTCCCTCTCCCTCCCTCGCTCTCTCACTCTCTCTCCCCTTTCTCTCTCTCTCTCTCTTTCTCTCACCCTCTCTCTCTCTCTCTCTCTCCCTTTCTCTCTCTCACTCTCCCGTTCTTTCTCTCTCTCTCTCTCTCTCTCTCTCCTATGTTGATTTTTCCTGTGTGTCTTTTCTCACTCCTAATCATTGCTGTATCTCCGTCGTCTTATCCTCAGCCTCTGTCTGTCTTTCTCCCCCACCCCCCCCCCCCCTCTCTCTCTCTCTCTCTCTCTCTATCCCTCTTTCTTTTAGCTGCCCTGTCTCATTTTCTCCGTCTCCCGCTCGCATCCCTTATCTTTTTTATCACTTGTATTTTCCCTCCGATACCCCTCCCCCTAAATATATAAATACCTTCTTATCAATCTATCTATCTCTCAGTACCAGACTCTTTGTAGATTGTCTAATTTTCTTTTCACTGCCCCTCGTCGCCTTTCTCGATCATTCTTTATTTGTTCGACCCACCCCCTCTCTCCATCTCTCTCTCTCTCTCTCTCTCTCGTATCCCAAATTGTCCCTCCCCATACTCTCATTTTCTTCTTTTATTCATCCGACCCCCCCCCCTCCAATACGACGAATATTAATTTTCGCTTTATTCAGTCATAAATTTCGTTCGTAGGCATATTATAATGAGAGAAGGTTTGTAATACCATCCAACTTCATTGCAAAGAGATTCCTATATGTTTTCAATATTATTTCATGAGTTATAAGAAAACATTATTGCAAACAATTTCGTTGTTATAAAAGCTTTAGAAGAGAAACAACACAAAATATGAGGTTCATATACACAAACTTTATTCGTTACAAAAATAGGCAAAGCTACTTTACAACAGCTAGAGTATAACGCACAGAGTGTGATATAGGATAACTATCTGATAACTAGAAGCTATGTGATTTCAATTCATTTAATAATATAAGATGTTTTTAAAGGATTCTTTGGTATATAGATTTCTATTCAAAATTTCTCTAACACAGATAACTCAACTGATAGATTACCACCCATCGCTATTTTTTTGTTAATCTACTGAAAATATCCATTTCTAAACAGCTGCATTTGTTATTTACATTACCTTTAATGGTTGCATATGAATATAATTCCACGAATTTGTAATGCCCTCAACATGAATGATTCTGTCAATATACGGCGATTAATATGAACCCTGTACGTTCATTTAGAGATCAATAATAAACGTATTTAAACCATTCAATATTTTTGAAATATGCATCATGCATAGTTCTATAAATTGAATTGAGTTCTGAGTGTCAATGACAAGTTCATTGTCACACAGTTTGTCACTATGTGTCAGTCACAGGTTGAGTGTCACACAGTGTGTCTCTGAGTGTCAGTGACAGGTTGAGTGTCACACAGTGTGTCTCTGAGTGCCAATGCCTTGTTGAGTGTCACACAGTGTGTCTCTGAGTGTCAAACAGTATGTCTCTGAGTGCCATGCAATGACAGGTTGAGTGTCACACAGTATGTCTCTGAGTGTCAATAACGGGTTGAGTGTCACGCAGTGTGTCTCTGAGTGCCAATGACAGGTTGAGTGTCACACAGTGTGTCTCTGAGTGCCAATGACAGGTTGAGTGTCACACAGTGTGTCTCTGAGTGCCAATGACAGGTTGAGTGTCACACAGTGTGTCTCTGAGTGCCAATGACAGGTTGAGTGTCACACAGTGTGTCTCTGAGTGCCAATGACAGGTTGAGTGTCACACAGTGTGTCTCTAAGTGCCAATGACAGGTTGAGTGTCACACAGTATGTCTCTGAGTGCCAATGACAGGTTGAGTGTCACACAGTGTGTCTCTGAGTGTCAGTGACACACAGTGTGTCTCTGAGTGCCAATGACAGGTTGAGTGTCACACAGTGTGTCTCTGAGTGCCAATGACAAGTTGAGTGTCACACATTGTGTCTCTGAGTGCCAATGACAAGTTGAATGTCACACAGTGTGTCTCTGAGTGTCAGTGACAGATTGAGTGTCACACGGTGTGTCTCTGAGTGTCACACAGTATGTTTCTGAGTGTCAATGCCAGGTTGAGTGTCACACAGCGTGTCTCTGAGTGTCAGTCACAGGTTGAGTGTCACACAATGTGTCTCTGATTGTTACACAGGTTGTCTAACAGAGTGTAACAGTGCGATACAATGAGTTACAGTTCAAACATTCTGAAGGCATAAAAAATAGACGTGAATGTGTCAGCGTGTTATAACTAGCGTGAAAACACAGTGTGACATAATGTAGGCACAGTATTTTGATATAGTCACCAGAGTGTTTTCAAATAGTCACTCTATTAACATGTTTCTTCTCTGTAATAGGGCTTGCTTATGGAATATCCTCCATTTCGAGGGCGCGCTGTTCTTCTATTCAGTCCAGAGTTGAATGTTGAAGGATGTCATAGTCGTCTGAACTCGATAGTTTTTGAGCGACTAGAGCTGGCTCAGAGTTCCTTGATGCCTTATCCACTACAGCATATTCTACTTCCGACGGTCGTAAACCCCTCGGCATTGTCGATGAGGGTTTCCTATTTTTAATATCTACAGGTTTGATTGTATCGAGTGCTTTCTTGTCGTTATACTCTTCATCAAGGGATGAATACTTGCGCAGTTGTCCTCGAGGAGACATCTGGGACAAAATGGAAGACACGGATATCCTTGGAGTGGTCTTCGAGCTCTTTTCTGTTCCATTTACGTTTACGTAACTTGGGCTGCTCGCGCTCCCTTCAGAAGAAAGTGAAAGGTCTTTGGCGGAGCATTTCTTGCTCTTTGCTATCAGGAGTTTCTTGTGATCTACATAGGAGTATGAATGGTCCATGTTGTTGACAACATCTTCTGTCTCAAAGGTGTCATCATTTGCGAAATCATACTTGAATTGCATATCACTTTCGTTCCCAATGGTGGCGTAGTCTGCATAAAGAACAGATGGAAAGGGGACACTCTCAATCCTTGGCCTTCTCCTGGAATCTGGAAGTGTTTTGGATTGCGTTCGTCCTTCGAAATAAACACTATCGTAATCACCATTCCGCGAGTTACCGGCCCGAAGTTGCGGTTCTTGGCTAATTCTGGCAATGGCTGGCAAAGTTCTAAACTGGTTTTGTTTATCTCCTGGTATATCGCTCGGGAGACACGACGTTCTACTCTTGAAGTCTAGATCTGATACCGTGGCATAGTCTCCACTTTCTAAACGGCCGCCATTTTGACATTCGTCTGTCCCGATGTCAAGTTGATTCTCGTGAAATTCCATCTGCGATAGGTGCGGGAACACGCTTGCGTATTCCCGAGAAACTGGTGATCTTATCTTACCACGTTTCTCCCTTGTTTCAGCCAAAGTGGAGGATTGCTCAAGCTTTTTATCTTGAATTTCAGTTGCTCCACCCCCGATCTCGCAATACGATGCCTGATGAACTGGGGAATACACTCCAGCATCAAACTCGAATCCGTGTTTAAAAGGGCAAAGACCTGTCCCTGAGATGTATATTCCAGACTTGTGTGGCTCATCGTACAGTTCTTGTCCTAGGACACCTTCGACAGGCTGTCCTACAACCCGACTTGCCATAGGTACTGCATTTCCACCCGACTCATTGCTTGTTTCAAACCCTGACGCATCGCTGTACGTTGCCTCCTCGCTTGCGTCCCCGATGTCGCCGCTCTTGGTCGTAGCGATCGTAGCGAAGCTACCTTCTTTCTTGAGGCCTGCGTTGAGAGACGCGTACTCGTCCTCGTTTCGTCGTTGCATCTCCTTGAAAGTCAGTCCCAAATAGGTGGAGAAATCACTTCGTTCTCCGCCTCCGCCTCCTCCTCCGCCGAAGGTGCTTTCAAATTCACTCTCAGAGACATGAGAGAGTCCGCTGTAGACGGCTGAGTCACCGATAGAGTTCATAGGATCTAGGTAGGTTGTGTCCATGACGATCTCCACCGAGGAGGACAATGCGTAAGGAGATGGGTCCTCCATGATTGATGCCTTTTTACGTCGACGTCTGAAACAAAAATAACCGAAGAGAAATTTTCAATATTTTGGTCAAGGTATTATGTTCCACGGTATAAGGATTTACAGGTTTGTAAAATAATTGTAGAACTTTGAGAATATGATTTAACATTTGGAACTTTTAGAAGAACATTACATTAAGTTCAACCGTCACAGGCCAATTCTATCTTTTCCTGATTTATTTCACAAATAATTTTATCATACCCCCCTCTTACTTTGTAGAGCTATTGTAATACATTTCGTATAGAGGTTTATACACATAAATACAATCAAACTTGTATATAGCGACCGCCCAATGGAAACACAAAGAATCATGGTCTTTGTAGACAGATTCCTTTAGTACATGTTTCAATGATTTTTAAGGGGGAAAAAAATGTGGTCTTTGTAGAGAGACCTTACCGGACCTTACCAAATGCCAGACTTTGTTTAACTTTGTTTAACCAGCCATATTCATAGGTTTTCAGTGGTTTACCTGTAGAGTAACGAAACGAAGAGAAGCACGGCTGAGCACACTAGAAAGAGAAGACCGCCCCCTGCTGCCAGCCCGGCAATAGTTGCTGTATTAATAAGTGTACAAAAAAGAAAAAATATCGAAATATTAGTTGGTCTAATTTCAATTTGTTCTAATTTTCAATAAATAAGTCCACTTCCCATTAACTTAAAGGTCTATGGATCATTTAGTCTAATTTTCAGAGGTCTCACATTCCAAGTTTGTATAATGCTCACTATGAATACTATCCAAACGGTCTAATAAACATTTACTCATAAATAATAACAATCATCAAATCAAGAGTCACTTAATCATGGCATTGCCATTTCGATAGTCAACTTTTGACATAAGAAAAGATTACAGTGAATTGATCTGCTTTAAATATTTTTTTCTTCTTCATGGAATCCGTTCAACATTTGATTTTGTAAGGAGTGCCACTCCCATGAGGCAAGCCAAAATAAAATGAAGTTCATGTGCAATTAGAAATCCCCCACATAAATGAGTCACAGCATTATCTCTCGAGTGGAAAATCGATCGATGGGTGTCAGGGGAATTTCCCCAACTCAGAACGACATACCCTGCCGTCTTACTGGAGTCAGGGAAGGGGCTAGGAGGGAAGTAGTGTTAATGTACCGACAAAAATTAAAGAAAGCTATACATTTAGCAAGGAAATTTTTTATGTTCTGAAACTGCTCCCAAATCAATGTTGTGTAGATAATCTTGAACAGGGTCCTGTATCATGACCAAAAAAACACGTAGATGGTTACAATTGATGGGTATCGATCTCCCCAAGTTTATTGTATCTCCTTCAACGATGTTCAATCAATCTTAACTTTACAATCAGTAATTATTTACGATTAATTCTATGATAAATAAATAGATGCGAATGGCAAGATAATTATGATTGATTGCAGGAAGACTGGAGATACAATGGATATTACAATTGATTGTAAGCCTTTGTTTATGCTACTAGGCCCATAAAGGAGTTTATATGATGAAATACAGGGCCGGATTATCCCCCATGCGACCCCTGGTTGACACCAATGACGACCCTGCGACCCTTCTTCTCGGAGCAACGTTCAGATGCATTGGGAAGTAATGCAAGTATGACCGATTATTGACAGGTTCCTGGGCGGCTAGTCCAGGGGCTAATGCTCTCGAATCATTATGAGTAAGCCAGCTATTTCTGTCAAATTTCTTCCCATTCTTCCTCTTTCTAACAAAAAACTGGGCCCCGTCTTTTAAACAGTTCCGATTAATCGCAAATTATTTGCGATTGATATCTATCGTAACTATGTACATAAGAGATACGAGAGTGCAGACTGATCCGAATCAATCGCAACTCTTTATATTAAAGGTAAAGACCAGTTATGGTCATGCGATTGGATTGTGAAAGAAACGTTGTGGAATCGATCAGAAAAGGTTGATCATCTGGCATCTAGCATCTGCAAGGTTCTGGAATCATCAAAATGATAAGAAATTTGGCCCATTCTTTGTAAAGTTACAAGCACTATACACAGAAAGATGTATATGGGACTACCCTATATCTCTCACAGACCAAGAGAGAAACAAATTTACCAAATATATGAATTAGTAGGCGGTTTCCCGGCAAATTTGTTATCATCATGTATTAGTCAAAACATATTCTTTCACATGATTGGTAATGAGAGCTTCCATTTCATTTTTTGAAATTGGGGCGTTTCCAATACTGGTCTTTACATTTAAAGACAGGGCCCTAGTCTTCTGAACCCTCGTTTTATATAACTTTTGTAATCACATTCTTTATTTTCATTCACTTTTCCGTTTCTAATTTTTAGATCTTGGAATTATGATCTTCATTTTTTTTCCCACTAAAATTCAATTTTTCCTCTTTTCCTTTTAAAGTCTATTCTTTTGTTTACGTTTAATTTCTTGCTTTGTATTTTTTTGTTTTTCTCGTGAAAAGGTACTATTATTCTTCTCGACCAGATTTTCCTTACTCTAATATACATTTTCCTTTTCTTTCCTCCTCCCTTCCTTCCCTCCTCATCCTTCCTTCCTCTTCATCCTCATCATCTTCACCATGAAAACCACAAGTGCCACAACTACTATCACCATCATCGTCATCGTCATCGTTACACTTATCATGCTCTCCTTGTCACATGTTTCATACCCTTTATCCAATACGATTAATCATTATATTATATCTTAAAATTTAATAGCAGCTAGAATAAACAACCAAAGAATAATAATCTTACATGTTGAAATTTTTTGTCCTGTAAGCTGTATAACAACCATGGTCGTTGAGGGCTGGTCCTGGCCAATGGTCATCGTAGGTGGCGCCCCCCTCTCTGTCGTAGATATCTTGAATGTCCGAGGACCTCTTGTGGAAGCGGCTTTCGTTGCTTCCGGTGTTGCAACAGAGGTTGTGATGGGTGACGATGTGGCTATGGTGGTCGCAACTGTTGTTGTCGGGGCTGATGTTGGTTGCAAGATAGCTGTTTTTATCATTTGAAAAGAGAAAACATTAAACAGATTGAGTTAGACACACATAAATGAGATCTTTAGAATTAAACGGAAGAACAAGCCCGCGAAGGCTTTCGAAAAATCAAATTAGGAAAATGTATGTTTCTTTTTTTTTCTCCACCTTTTCAATATAGTTACGCTTATTACAGTGCCTTGTTATGTAATCTCGACCTGATTTCTCGGGGGTATATAACATTGTATGAATATAGCCATTGAGTTGTTTTCTTGAAGAAGAAAAAGCACGTTGTGATTGTTTTAAAGATGACTGTCGCACACAGCATTCCATAATCATGACGCCGATCATTTCAATAAGCACATTTACACCACCGTCTAAACCTTGATATGTTACAGCAACTTCCACAGTTAGTAGCATCACGATGTTTCTTTGTAGTGTAAAGTGGTCTAATTAAGGACTTGCCGTCTGGCAATATGAAGGTTAACCGACTGAGAACGTGTCTATAAAAAGCTATCTGTTATTGAAGGGTTTTGTCTTGAGAATTCTGAATCAGTCGTAACTAAACCCCGCTTTTCTTCCCAACCTTGACCATGGCCTGTATTCCATGTGCTCTTGAATCTGGACTTACAATAAGAACAAAATAGGTCAGGTTAATAATAGCCTCATCCTACGACTTCAGTCCGACCGGCGACATTGTTTCCATAGTTCATGTCTCCAAAGGTTTCCTGGCCAATAAAGTTTGGTGTAAATGTGCATTGGAAAACACTACTTAGGTTAGACCTCGAAAATGCCGAGCAGAAGCGACATTCGACAAAAGAGAATAGACAGGCCCAAAGGTTGACTCGGGGGGGGGGGGGGGGGGGGGGGGGGGGGGGGGAGAGGGAGGGAGGGGGGTGAGGTGGGATGGACCTTTGTGGTAAATGAAGGAAAGAATGATACAGGGAGGGTAATGAGGATCTTCACGACTGTATTTGGAGTGCATCCCAGAACAAATACCATCCCAATTAGAGCAATTTTACTCTCTGGACCAATCCAGAAAAGTACCTTAATAATTTCAAACGAACCAATCTCTTGGACCATCTCAATGCGCACACCATCCTTTTGGCAGTTACCTACATGACGGTCAATCTTCTCGGATCCAGAAGGACGCTAACTCATTATACTTCAGCACAGATTTAACCCCCTTCTTGCACTGAGGCAATTATGAGTAGTTTGCCAGCGCGGGAAAGTGGTTAATGTCGTAGATTTCTAAATCGTACCTGCCAAACAGAAAACTGGGAAAAGGGAATTGTTGTTTGGTGGAAGTCGGTCGAAGTTTTATGGTCGATAAGGGTAAATGAGGATTACTCGTGGGGGTGATACTGTAACAATAATTTCACCATAAGTTAAGAGTACAAGAGCAGTTATTGCATCGTTGACAACCCTAGGCCTCTCCCCGAACAAAACCAATAGGAAGTATATATTTATTTCAGACCACCCCTTCCTGTCTGTTTGTCAACTTGTATGCCAGTTTCTCTTTCTTTGTTTATATATATATATATATATCTATATATATTTGTCAACGCATAGAATCGGGTAACCTGTCGAGTGATGGCACATACTTTTCATTCTAGTCAGAGCTCCAAGGATCACATCTAAGCACTGATCTGACCTAGTGACCTTGAAGATAAAAATGGCGGGAAGTTCCGCTCGTGCTCTTCGGCTTCCTTCTACAAACATCGACCTCTTAGAGGTGTTAGTAGTAGGTCCATGGTTTGACAGAGAAAATGTCTCAAAGGTACATCTCGATGGTTTGGGGAAGAGCTTTGTCATAATTTCCTGCCATGGACCGCCCTGAGCCTGCCGAGTGATTTTCTTGGATGTTAAGGAGCGGAAGTTGATATTTACCTGAATTAGGGAGGCTTTGGGGCACCAGCCCTATATGGGAGAATCTGGTAATTCGATATGACATTTCATGTAGCGTAAAATGTACTTCTTCCCTTCTTCCCGTGGCTGGAGTACACGTTACTATCAGAAAACCTCTCAAAAGACTTAGTTTAATTTAAGGGGAAGTCCACCCTGTCATTGAATTGGTTTTAATAGAAGCAGAATAATTAAAGGGACAGGTCAGTGAAGGTTCGGGCAAATTCCGATTAAACATAGGACACTTTTATTATCAATCAAACACAAATTGGTAACGCTTCGATGTATCTTCAACAATAAGGGATAGAGCAACGTCGATCTGGCGCTGCTCAGTGGCTGCCGGGCTCACGATCAATTGGGCAAAAAGAATTTCCATATTCTGTTTAACTTAATAAAACTTGGAGTGGACTTTAAAAGATTATTATTATTACTATTATTATTATTATTATTATCTTGCGACTTGCGAGCTCCTCTTCAATTATTAACCTGTACAGACAATTTAATTTACTTCAATTTTCTTCGTTATTGATGATGGAATAAGATTTTCTTCTTTACAGGGGTTAAATAGAAACATATTCAGGGTGCATGAATGATTGAAAATTATGTTGAAGGAAATTTTTTTAAATCTCGTTTGTTAGTACAATGCAAATAGGAGGGGAACACGCAAGATACGTCGCAGAGTTGCCAATTTGTGTTTGATTGATGGCAACTTCAAAACATCATAACTTTCTTATTTTTAATCGGAATTAGTTCAAACTTTCACTGATCTGTTCCAACTTAATATCAGGGTGTACTTCTCCTTTCATGAGACTGAAGGCTCACGAGACCGATAGTCATGATACCAGCCATATCGATCTCGTGGGCTGTCGGTCTACGGATGTCCCCGAATGAAACATGTTTTTTGTATATACTCGCTTGTTATATTTTCTCCTTTATCATAATAACAACCGGGTATATTACCGTGACAACCACCCCCGTTCAGCTAATCGCAACAATCACCCTAGATGATTAACACCGGACAGCTATCTCGAACAAACACCCCGGACAATTTCCCTCTGCCAGCTACTCCAGATAATGGTAATTTGAGCAAAGAGCGATGCGTAAGTAATGGGATTCTTCTTTTCTTTATTCGTCAAACTTCTCATATTCAACTTTTTAAAAACTACTTTGCTGTCGTCCTCTATTTGTTACCGAAAGCAAAAACGATGGTATTATAACGTGATGATGCTAAATGAAAATTGCAACTGTTTGAGATTTGACCTACTTATTGGTTTGTGTCATGTAATCTTCGGGAGAGTGACATGTAGTAATTTTTCACTGTTCATTTAACAGGTGTCATGATTGCTCTATCAACTGATGACGTTACTGTAGCTGTATTATTAAATGGAAGGTACATAGAGTGACGTCACAGAAGGCAAATGCCCGATTAGTTTCTCTGTCGTCATCACATCCTCACCTATACACCCTCCCCTCTCTCTCTCTCTCTCTCTCTCTCTCTCTCTCTCCCTCCCTCCCTCTCTCCTTTGCATGTGACCCTGTCTCCGCCTCTCTCTAATTACATAACCTCGATTTATATCATATCAGATGAACGTGAATTTGTTTAAACATTATAATGTGATGTCATAAGTATCGGCTTGCCATGAGTCCGAAATGAAACTGGTCCTGGGTATTGTGTTGAAATAAAGACTTTAAAAAGACTTCTTATCCCTATTATACTATATTTCCTCTCCCACTTTCTTTACAAACCCTTGCTATTTTCTCTCTCTCTCTCTCTCTCTCTCCGATCTCTCTATCCATGGACCCATGCGCTACCCCTCTCTCTTTCTCTTTCTCTCTCTCTCTCTCTCTATCTATTCCTTTCTCTATATCTCCACCTTTCTGTCTATCTCTTTCACCATCCCTCTTTCCCTCCCCTCTACGTGTCACTCTTTCCCAGTGTCATGTACTAGTGTTGATATAAGGACACGGAAGCGTGGTTAATCTTGGGATTATATGATCCATATTTCAGATTAAAAGCGAGAAGAGATTAAGCTGACTAATTAGTAACACATGAGTAAACGTGTCGGTTGATGTTTCAGAAAGTTTGGCATGCCTCAGTTTGAAGGGGAAAACAGTCTGCTCACTCAAAACAATTCAAGATTCACCATACTCAAGAAAGAAGAATTGCGTACAAACTGGCAGGGACCTAAGTTATACGTAGTAGCAATGGGGAAAAGCCCTCTTGAAAATGTTTTGTGAAGGCAATGTTTTCAGTGGCCAGATCTTTCAAATAAATCTACCAGCCCTAATCACAGTCTGACCTGCAAAACATGATGATAATATCTGTATACCCTACATAAATGTAGGGGTAACACTTCTCCCGAATACATTATATTTTGTGATATGTATTTTTCCTACTGCCAGAACACAACCCATGTTGTGTACGTATACGCCATCGTCGGCAAGGCTTGGAAATTAGCGACAAAACGCTATTTTAGGGGTAAAAGGGGCCGGAAAGGTGACATTGAAACTAATGGCCCTTGTCACGAATACTCACGATAAGTGTGGACCCGTACTGCATACATCGTCTGTTGCAAAATATGTCAACCCTCGGACATGCTTTATGGTTCTTAGCAGCCACTTTGTTAAAGAACCATGCCTAACATTAATGGTCTATGATAACCCAGTGACGTCTCAAAACCGACCCTAACCGACCCTTATTGAGAGACGTTCTTGGCCATAAGGGATAATTACATTTGTCGTTTTGGTATGTTGTGGGTCTGGTATTGGTCTAGTTGGTGTGATTGTAGTATAAGAGATAATTCTTCTTCTTCTTCTTCATATGAACTTCTTTACGTGCCATTTCCTGATACGTTGGCGACCATGGAATGCCACAACTCTCTGTCCCATATCAGTAATTCATTCTCCCCGAGATCAATTCCACTTCCAGAAATCCCATTTCTTAAGCTACTCATCCACAGAATCCTCCTTCTACCCCTACTCCTCCTCCCCTCTATTCTTCCAGTCATTGCAAGATTTTCCGAACCATTCTTGCGAATACCAGAGATGTAATTAAAGTTGATGTGTTTACTCACTGCGAAAGACTGCAATCTTCTGCACACCGCCGCAGCTCTCCGTCGGGTTCCCGACGCAGGTCACCTGACAGTGTTTATCCGCGTAACGTTGCTGCCGCGCGTAGTCCGCGTCCGCACTACCGCAGTAACATTCACTCGCGTACTCGACCCCAGCGTACAAATGGCCAAGCTCCATGCAGTAGTTCATGCAGATCTGCGGTGACATCAAGCCGGTCATCGGGTAGGTTGCCGCGGTCAGAACACGGTCGTATCGGTTGTCGCCGTAACAACCGAGGTAATGCTCATCTGCGTGTCGAGGAAAATGAGAGAGAGGGGGAGAGAGAGTGGCGTAAATAAGGGGAGACGGAACATATACGAAATTGTTCTACCATTTATTATGTACTACGCGAAGTGGGCGAGGGGGCACAATGTGTTGCGGGAATTGTGCTTGTTTGCTTGAGCATTACAGATGAAATCCATATCAATGTTACATTATCAAAATCTAATCAGATGATGTCACTGAGGAAAGGTAAACAACCGTTCCTTTTACTACGGTCTTTTACTCGTTTAATTTCTTTAAAATGATACCAGCAAATAATGTTTCTAATCAAGATGTTTTATTTGTAAAGCGCTTAGAGACATTTGTACTAAGCACTATATAAAAATTAGATATTATTATTATTATTATTATTCTATACACCTGTATTATATCTAAAACGAAAAACAAAACAAAAATCGAATAATTGAAAGGACAAAGAAATTATAGTTGTCAAAAAATACTGCATACAGCCAATTGGCAAGTACAAAATGTCATTATTTTGTACGTTGAAATTATTTTTTAAATACAGCAAGCTATAATGAAAACGCTTCGTGGCAGTATTATCTTGAGATAATAATAATTATTATAATATCCGTGGAATAGTTTAACCCAGAAAATTATATCATCGGATTAGTGACTTGTGCCCTGCTCATTTATCGTTTGAAACTATCCCAAACCCGTCATTCACTCTCTTCGAAAACGTTGCAACATCAGGATTTCTTCCAAACTACACAGGAGGAAGATGAAGGATGTTGGTACGTTACCATAGCAACTAGCCCAGGCCGGTTGACACGCCTCGAGGGTACTGGTATCAATGGGGATCCGGGGGCAATCGTTGACTTCCGTCTCGGCTGTCATAAAAAACGAAAGAATATATAAGAATAAAAATAGGTAAGAGCGACGAGTGGAAGTTGGTCTACATGGACAAAAGTACAAGTAATTGACCTTTAAACATACCACATAAATATTGATCAGCTGACGAGGATTAGACAAAAATAACCAGCAATGTTTGATACGATCAACTGTGTCAACAGACCCCGTAGGTTGCTCGCTCTCAGAACAGATGTGAGTGCGTGAGACTGAGAGGGGAGGGTTTTGGGAACTCTATCAAATCGGTGGCATACTAAAGTCGAAAACCTTTGAATGATTAGAGAAGAGGCTGGCAAAATAATAATCGTTACATATCATTTGATTTTATTATCTAATTTTCTCAGTCCTTTCTTTTTATTTCCTGATATCACTAATTCATGAGGATGATAACATTTGAATAATCATGACTGGGTAATTGATATTAACTTATTCTTAACATTTTTTTTTGTTTGTCCATTATTCGAAAAATCATATTTATTTAAGGGTGAACTTGAACCTGAGCAGTGGCATATCTATGGAGAGGGCATGAAAGCACCTATTCACTCCCATTCGGATGGTGGCAGAAAAGGGAAAGGGAGAGGGAAAAGTACCATGACAAGTGGGATAATCAGGATACGACCCGCTCTCAACCCCTCCCATATTAGAAGCCTTGTTAGTTCATATTTTATCCACACCACGCTATAGAAGGGTATCCCTCGTCACCCCCTTCCCCCGATGCCAGTGCGCCATCAACGGCTGATGATCACACGCTACGCCATTAATCCATTACCTACTTAAACAGGGTGGTTTCTGCATCAAACCCAGCAGGAATATGAGAATTAGGAGTCAAAGGGTAAAGACATAAGACAACATACTTCCTGTACAGCTGAACTGTTGATCATAGTAGGCGACCGGTCTGTCTGGGTTGACCATCTCCACCGTGAACGCCCGACTGGCTCCCACCTGACCAAGCTGTCTACAGATCACCTGTACGTCAATGATACTCCAAGATGGGGTGTGGCACACCGTCAACCACGTCGACCTTGCCCCGTCAAGGATCTCCACGATGCCCGAATACTGACTGGTACCGTTCGAAAGGCGGACCTCTGCAGGGGTGAAACAAAGAGGAAAAGAAATCATCATTATGCATGTTGCGCTCGAAGCGCCATTTGTGAAACGCAAGCCTGCGTCAGCGACTGACGATGCATGTTGCGCTCGAAGCGCCATTTGTGAAACGCAAGCCTGCGTCAGCGACTGACGAGGCATTTGACGCGCCATTTCAGTGTAATGCCCGTTACATATACAACGCTTCATTCCGATTGTGTCATTACACCTGCGCTAGTTTAAAGCCTATTACCGCATGCGCCATTTCGTTTAGCATTAAACTTTGTGTACCATGTCACTGTCATAAATGCACGTGTAATACTTCTACGTCAGTCCTACGTCAGTTAAATACGCCTTTTGTGCAACGAGCATATCACCCCTTTTTTAATTGCCATTTTAAATCAGGGCCCCGTGTTATGAAGAGTTGAGATTGACCCTAATCAATCGCAAGTCCTATTATCAATCGCAAATTTTCAGTCTCCTTTCTCTTACGTACATAGTTGCAATTGATATCAATCGCAAATAAGTTGCAATTAATCGCAACTCTTTATGAGGCGGGGCCCAGGAATTTTTTCTTTATGAAGGTCATGTGCAACATGATCTTCGAGTAAAATATGAAGTACTGCCCTCCCACTCCACTGACCAAAAACCGCATACTATCTTAATAATGTTTATCCTAGCTAAACTGTGATCGTGACAATGACACCCATATCTATGTTTCATAGAGGATTGTTCAGCTGCTCACATTAATGTCACCCTGTTCCTTCCGTACGAAGGAGATGTCGTATTAAATGTTGACGCCTTGCCACCGAGTGTTGATCAATCGGGTTGGACCACAGGCATCGTTTTCCGGGCGCCATTGAAGAAAAGAATTATACTCTTTAAAGGCCCACTGCACTACTTGTAGCTACTTGCTCCCTCTATATATAAAACAATGCCTAATCAGTGACCATTAGTCCACCATGATCCTCTTTTTCTTATGTTGATTGACAGCTGATTTGATGAGATAGCCACCTGTCGGTGACCTTCCAGGATGGTCTAATCCCTCCTAGCTAAACTAGTTCAGACGGCCTTTAAGCACAAAGACGCAAACTCTTGACTCAGACTTGCGATAGTCTCGCACGTACATGTGCCTGTAATTCAAGGCAATCTTTGCTAAGTTTAAATTGCATTCACTTTTTGCGCAAGTTTACTCTATATAACATGATGCGTCATTGAAAGGGGCCAACAACTGACGCAGTTCTGCGTCAACGTTGTGGCGAGTCTTCGCGTCACTGGGGTACTGATGGGGGGGGGGGGGGGGCAGTTGCCTCCCCGAAATAAAATTTAAACGTGATTTATTTCTAATTCGATACCAGTGATTTACAAATGTTGCTAAAATTACAAGATTGTTCGGGGGTTTTCTCACTTCTTCTTTTTAAATTATACCTTTTTTTTCTTTCTGCCCCCAACTTTTGTTCGCTCATAACGCCACTGCTTCGCACATACAGTGGGCATTAGGTGTCAGGGTTACAATACCAAGCACTTAAATATTATGTTCTAAACAAAGGAGATTTATCTGTACATAGGTTTTATGCTCTGTATAATCAATACAACAATCTAACTTTAATTTATTTCATCCTCTCTTGTCACCCCCTGCCCCTTCCTTTTTCTTCCCTCTCAAATCATCACATGCTCTCTGTCGTCATCTGTTTTACTTTCACAACAATGACATGAACCATCATGGATAACGTGAATCACTGCAATATGAGTCTTGAGTTTATCGTGCTTTTAGTAGCGTAGCGTAGGAGCAGAAAACTGGGGTGGGGTAGCACCGGTATCATTGGGGGAGGGGCCCCGGTCGGACCTTAGTTGCTGGAATGTGAAGTTTAAACTGCCACCGAATTGACTGGGGCGTCCCATCACCTCCTTATCATGCCCCCGTCCTGCTCTCCTCTTGCTCATCTTTTGTATCTCCTCTTCCCCCCCCCCCCCCACCCTCCCCGGTCGCGCTGTAGTTGTGTCTTTGTAAGATTTGTTGTCTATCTACAAAGTTATCACCTTTCGAAAATATTTTGAGTTAAGGCCCATTATACAATGTATAATGTAAGGAACGTCTTGTTATCATTATACATATCAAGAATGAGATTGAATTTTGATAACCTCATCCTGAATGACAAAACATCAAGAAGGCTAAGCTAAACAAAAATGAGGAAAGAAAAGAAGAGAAGGAGAATAGATTTTCTGGCAGTCCTTATATTTCATACATCAAGCATTATGAGATTAAGCAGGTATTGTTCTATTATGCATCTTGTCAACTTTGATCTTGATTCAACATCTGTGTGCAGTGTCATGCAGAAAAGAAATCACTGAAGACAGAAATTTAACCGTAGTCAGATTACATTCACAACATATTATGAGATTAAACAGGTATTGTTTCCCCTCACAACAATGACACATTTGGTCCCGATTCGATCAACCTGAGAACATTGTCTTTCTTTGAAGTTATAATTTCCAAACCGAAGTTTAGAAGACGGCTGTTGCAAACAGGGGGTTAAGAAGGGGGTAGATGATGAGAAATGTTGCCTTAGTTTGAAATTTTCCATGCCAGAACAGGTTTGATCATGTATCAGTCTTAGGCTGAGTGATGAACATACCATTTGTGTTTTGAAGAATGGGTATATTGGTAGACTCATCACATTTTGCGATTTTCTATATCCCTGCAAGAGTGGGGAGAGGTGAGGGGGGGGGGGGTTGAATTGGAATTAAAATTTAATGAGATTCAGCCACATCACGCCAGTTCTCAACGTACTCCATTGGTTGCCCATGGCCATGAGTGAACGTATTATTTTCAAAATTATTTTGCTTTTATTTCATTGTGTCCTTTGCTCCGCTCCACAGTACAATATTAATTTGATAAATCATTACATTCCGTCCTGATCTTTACGCTCTGAAAACTCTGGATTTCTTGTTCTTCCTATGCTCACTAAGGGGGTGGGAGAACCTTTTCTTTTACATGCAGGACCTTCGCTGTGGAGAGATTCATAATTATAGCAGATTAGCTAAAGCGTTAACGTTTCTGTTTAATTCGGCATATAATCAATTGTTCTATCTTACTTCTGTTTGTAATGCAGATACTTTATGGGATCTCTTGTTTTTCCCTCTTTTTAGAAGTCCGCCTTAAGCATACTTTAGGTGGATTTAGCGCCTTACAAATATCATACATTATTATCATTATTTATTTTTATTATTATTATTACAGTTGATTTATCATCATTATCATAATCAATATTATTATTATTATCATTATTCTCATTACTATTATTATTATTATTATTATTATTATTACCATAATCTACCCTCATCCCCCGAAGGATAGTCTACCTTCATGTTGGAACACACACACTGAAAGAGTTATCAGTGGTTATGTACACATTATAAAAAATATCTCAGAACATAACGTTTCATTTACGTTCATACAGATCGCGTATTGATGATAATTGTTTCCTTTTGTGGTGCAGTGAAATAATTTTCTTCAATATAATTATATTAGACAGGTCAGACGTTTTATGTGGTTTGTCACATGTATAATTTATCAGACGGTGGTATTAAACTGGGTGTAACGAAGATGGACATAAAAATTACACACCCATCCTCGATAAATATATATATATATATATATATATATATATATACATTACATGTCTATAGAAAACTAATTCAATTTGTCTATGTTGATTAAATCAAACGGAATGCAGATCTATTTTCTTATATTTGATATAGATATTTGACATCCTAAACCTATAGCTGACGTCGTTTCTGTCTGTTTTGATATGTTGATTTAACATAATTAGTACACTCAAGTAAATGCAATGGTATAGAGAGAACTATTAAATGAACAAAATTTAAGCCCCTCAGGCCCCTCCCCCACCACCATATCACAACCATTTGCAACCCGTACGATGATTTGTAGGGGCTATGATGTACCTTTTCATAACCATTATGGGGGAGCCATAGGCCGCTGTATGATAATCCTCTGATTACCCCACTCTGTAAACCCCAATAACCTCGGACAAATCGAAAAACAAAAACACCAGAGGGCTTTCTCCTTTTTTCGGATCATGTTGAACAAATGAAATCTAGGGTATACAATAATACTTTTATCCTGTCATCTGTTTGAACAGTCGTACACTCACGATAAAGGGATCATTAATTATAACTATTCTATTTACTGAGTAAACTATCCTTGCTTTCCAGAGAGGAAATCAGGCGGGATAAACAAAATATCGACCTGGCAACCGCCACAGAAAGAGAAAGATCAAACTGTCTCATGATAGCTTTTGTTTTTGGCTTTGTTTGGTTTTGTTTCTGTGCTTTATTTTTATTTGTCTTAACGTGCATAGGGAGGTTGTCTATATATTTATGCTTTGACATCTGACGACTGCCAAGCCGATGTTTGGCAGCAAAAGTCGCTTTGCCGCTTTAGTGCGGAATACAGCGATTTTCTGCGGATTGTTGCTATGCGGTCCGATGCGATTATACTTTGCAATTATCATCAAACTTGATTAGGCTCAAGTTCCTTGGAGCCCTTGCGATTGGTTACGATTATTTTGCGGTATCCTGCGGTCTTGTAAGTTTGTCTGCGTTTTTGGCGAACAATCGCAGGTAGTTAATACCATCACACGACTGTGAGAAATTTGCTTCGAGGCTTTAAATTATTTTGACTGCGAACAGTGATGAGTACCTCTTAAAACCCATAATGCGTCTTGAAATTCTCTATAAAATGCAAAACAGAAGACACATATAATGATCTCGAAACAATCATGACTAATCGCTCATATTATTAATGTAAAACATGCATGTGGAAGGTTGCCTATATGTCGAGGTTATTTTTGAAAGCTTCCTGGAAATGCCGTCAGCTCTAGGTTTTCCTGTCGCCGCACTGAAAGAAGGGGTAAGATTGTTAGAGGGGTAATATTGAGCTGCAAACATTCAATCCCCCTTCACGCTAGGGGTGCTGAAA